CCCCCTTTCTTTCACATTTTTGTTGCAGATTGTGTTCCTGCTGGGAATATTGCCCAAACGTCTGTCCTGGTGACCATTGCTTCACTAAATTGGATTGAATGTCAGCATTGAGGCCAAAATTATCAGCATGGCAACCAGGGAACAGAGTCTCTGACCCTTAAAACATTTAGAGATGAGGAATTCTGTAGCTCATTTACAGCATGCCATGCTTGTTCTAGTGCTAAGACTCAAAAATATTAAAGTCCAGCACTGCCAGAGAAGTGGCATTTTCAAATGAGCTAGCACTGGTGGCCCCTAAACTTTTCTTTTTTTTTAATTTTTAATATCAATGTCCAGGCAAATGAAGCCAATGAAAACTGTGACATGCTAATATACTGCATGATGCCACTGCATCTCAGAGAACTGCATGGTTTTCAAGGCAAAAACATTATTTTTTTTCCCCCTTTTTTAAATTAGATGAGCTGAGGAGACTCAAACCCAAAATGAAGTCACGCTGTTTCTTATGGAGGAGGAGGAGATGGAAGGACCACGTGGAGAAGGGTAAATAGCGCTCAGACATACTGTTTTATATAAAATGTTGTGATCCTTTAGAATCTTTCTTCTGATGGTTTAGTTTGGTGGAAGCTGATGTGTATCAGAGGACAGCTAAAAGAATACCCCTTTTTTTTTTTTACTGTACAGTAAATTTCCAGTTTTTGCAGTCAAATAGGAAAATACACACTTGCTTTGTGTTTCTCCTCACAAAGCATACCTAAAAAAAGGATGTATGAATGCATGTGCATCTATCTACAAAATAGTGTGTGGGTTTTTTTTTTTTTAGTTTTGGATAGAGTAGGGATGTGTTAAACAACCCCCTATTGGGTTATATTTTTTGCTGTCTGTCCTGCTGGAGAGCTTTTCCTTCACTTCCTGCTATAGAGGTGCAACAGGAAATGAGAGCAAATCTCCCCAAAATGAGGGGAATTCTCATCTTAGAGACAGTGGTCACCAGAAAACATTTTCCCCTTTGGCGACTTTCCCTTACCTCTTCCTCTCATGACAACTTCTATAAAATGTATGCTTTCCACTTTCTGTCTCCATGACAGTGGTCACCAAAGAGGGTTGAATCTGTCCACTGAAACTCTTTTCAGTGGTGTATTAAACAGACCAAAAGGGAGCAAAAGAGATGTTCTGTGTTGGGGTTTACATAAACTTCAATTAATCCATTACTTCTTTTTAATTGCAGAGTCCATTCAAGAAGGAACACCTTTGGCTGTGTTGCAGTATCCCAATGGAGCTTGTGCTGAGAGGACTACTGATGCCTAGTATCTGCCAGTGATGTCCATTTTCTCAGAGATTAGGACTTCTAAAGGATTTCGACAGCAACCTAGGGCTGCCTAACCAGGGCATTGTGTATTAATACAAGAAAATATATTTCATCAGTAGCTGCCGCCTTCTAACCGGTACTTGAAAATGAAAGAATGATTGATTGCCATCTGCGGGGTAGTAGTAGTATTTCATTGTACTGACATGTGGATCCATGAGACACTGTGAAATGAATATTTATCTGCACCCCACCACTCTGTTGTATCAGAATGGCCTCTAAAGTAACATACATATTAAAAGAACATTTACAAAAACAAAAAACTAAGACTTTGGGGATCTTGTGAAGCTGATGAGCTATGGTTACATACATTACATTTATGAGTTTTGTACAGTAACTTCTGTGAAAATCCTAATTTGTGAAGAAATGCATATACCATGTATTGGTACAGTAGTCTTGCTGCTGGGATTTGGTAGTTATGACCTATGTTGAGGTATGCAGATGTCCTTTTTTGTCTGTGTTGATAAGGTCAATGTTATACTACAGGGTATACCCATGGCAAGAAGATTCTAGCAACCGGAGTGCTAAATCGTGCAGGGAAAAAAATAATAATAATCTGCTTGTATATATCGCTCCCTTAGAGCAACCAGCCACCAACGAGAGAGACACCTTGCATATCGATCCAGTGAGGGAATGACACATACAAGCAGATGAGTGTGTCACTTCCCTTCTGTGTCCTTGACAGCAACTTGTCACCAGCGACAGGATAGCAAATAGGCCCATGTCATAACTTGTTTAACCAGTTCTTTCCAGATGGATTGAATAAAGCCTGCATTTAAGATGCAACACTTTGTACGTTTGTGTTTTTGTTTTTTCTTCATTCTTTAGTGTCATATCTTTTGAACAATGAGCTGGCAGTTTTTCTGTTAAAAATTGGAGAAACGTAATCTAAGAAGTACATGATGTATACTTAGGACTTTCCATTCAAGATAAATCTGAGATCGTGTATGCATCCAAAGGTCAGAGGTCTGGGTGTGATCCAGCTTCTGCTAATGAAACCTATGCAGTGAAGTCGCTCAGAAGGTGTATTTTTACAATTCATCATATCTCAGCTTGGTCACAAAGTGCTTTATAGTAATACCATGTGATGAGGGCAATTGGCTTTGCAAGCCAACAAACGACTTTTGAGATTTTGTCACTTCTTTGGGGACAAGATATTGTAACACGGTAAATGTGTGTATTTGTTTGGAGAACTACCCTATTTTGCTATAACAGTAATTGAGGTTACCATTTAGAAAGAGGTATTTGTGACTGTTTATTTAATTGTCCCTTTTCGTGCAAATTGTAATTATTATAGGTCCATATCTGAAGATGATTGAAGAAATTAAGTCAGACAGAAAGTCAGCAATAGGAGCTTTTAGATATTTGTTTGATGATGGTACTTAAAATATCTGCCTGCTTTCACTGTTTAGTTAATAACGATAATAGTCTATAGAGGTGTGTGCTTTAAGCTTCTCCTGTCTTATTGTATACTAGATTTCTTATGACTTTGTTTTTTGGGGGGGAACTTTGCATAAATTCATAAAAACTGGAGCAGACAGAATCTCAATTAGTTGCTAATAGCAACCAGGTTCTGTCTGCTACACTTTTTATGAATTTCCCCCCATTGTGCTGAGTTATAGTACCACATATCCTACTTCTTCCTTTTTTTTTTTTTTTTTATAAACTTTTCTTTTTAGCTAGTGAACAGGCATCAAAGGGAACCAGGCAATTCCCTTCTCTTTTTATATAAAAAAAAAAAAAAGCAAATGATTGCAGTGTTTTGCCATGAGGGATAAACTGACCTTCCTTGTAGTGCAGGGGTAGTGAATTAAAATTCAAGGAGATCTGGTGAGAAAAACTTTCATCAAGCCAAGGTCCAAATTGTCTGCTGGACAGAACAGCCACTCGGTCTATTTCTGCAATGCGGTCCGCCATTTAGGTTGCATTCACACTAGCACTGCAAAGCACAGCTGCCAGTGTGTTTTCCCTGGCACAGTTCTGATGCATCGATCCCAGCGCATCACATTTTTTTTTGTTAGAACTTTATTGAAATTTCATAAGTGACATTGCCTTAAGTTCTATAGGCATAGTGTGGTGCGATTGTACCACATTGTGGCTGGCTTCACTGAAAAAAGGACAGAATCCATCAGCGTGCCCCCTTACATTAGGTGTCACCATCAGCGTGCCCCCTTACATTACTTGTCACCATCAGCGTGCCCCCTTACATTACTTGTCACCATCAGCGTGCCCCCTTACATTGCTTTTCCCCATCAGTGTACTCCTTTATGTTTGCATTTAATCTAAGGGGGCACTCTAATGGGGGTAACCAATGTAAGCAGGCACTCCAGTGGGGGCAACTAATAGTTCTCATCAGAGTGCTCCCTTACATTGGCTGTCCCCATCAGTGTGCCATCTTTCATTAACTGCGAAAGTAGTGTAAGAGGGCACTCTGATGGGGGCAACCAATGTAATGGGGCAAATAATAAGTTGCCCCCATTGGCAAGCCCTCTTACACTGGTTGTCCCCATTGGAGTCTTCCCCCTTACACTGGTTGTCCCCATCAGAGTGCTGCTTGTCCCCATCAGAGTGCTGCTGTACACTGGCTATCCCCATCGTAGTGCCCCCTTACACTGGCTGTCCTCAGCGGAGTGCCCTCTTACTGTCCTCACATGTTTCTTTGGGGTACCTTTTAGCTGGGAGGTGAAGTTAGGAGACAGAGCTGGGGGGCAAAGCAGGGAGCTTGAAAGCAGAGTCAGGAGGAGGTGCTTGAAGGAGCCGAGAGGCTATGGGCGGTTGAAGAGGACGGAAGATACTGTTCCATCCTACTTGGTGCGCAGCGGGACACTGGCTGTCACTGGCGATCTCGGTCTGGATGGACCAGGCGCGTGGTCTGTCATTTGTGGACCACTGTTGTAGTGCAAAGTCATCTTTAAACTCCTGAGCCATTTTTCGCATTTCAGCTGAATAGGTATCAACATGAAGATGGGTATGTGAGTGGGATAGCTGCTGTGCAGTTTGCATGCAGTCTGAAAACTGATGAGGGACTTTTGAAGCTTGCATGCCAGGCTAAATAATTTACTAAAAACTGGCCTAAACAAAAACCTTTCTATTTTTGTCCATCGAGGGACATGGGGCATCTTGACCAGTCGGGTTATACTGCTGCCTTCAGGACTGCCAGCATGCTTCAGGTTTTTTGCTTTTCCCCTAGCAAGATAGACATCTTTTCTTCAGATTGCCTGATTCAAAACTTAACCTGAGATTTTATTTTTCTTTTATCAAGATTCTATAGGTGACACCTGTTGGCATTTGCTTGCAGTTATCCTGTACAGTTTGTATACAGGATCTGCTTTTGCATCTCACTGTGACCAACACTGCTGTACTGGACCATTGCAATGTGCCTGAAAGTGACAATCAGGTAATGGGTTCTGCTTGGAGTGTTTTCCAGCCTTATATCAGGTCTGTCACAGTTAAATGCTTTCTAGATCTAGAGCTGTGGCATTGTCGTGGGTTTACCCAGTCTCTGGAGGCTCCCTCATATGTAAGTAGGTCGTACAGTCAGTTTTGGGGGCTTTATGGGCCTTTCAAATGATATAAGCAGTTTCCTGTCCCTGCTGGCACGCCACAAAACAGTTTATTGCTGTTGGGACAGAGCACTGATGTAATTTTGTTGGGTACAGTGTTGCACATGCATGTGCATTTCTCTACCTCTTTCATGGCAGCCAGCACCGAAGAAGTACCCCCCCAGCTACTGCCTCTGCCCTAGAGCCATATGAAACACAGGTCTTTGGTGTCTTTGTTTGGTGTCTGTGTTGGCCCCATCTTTTGAGTTCTTCTGTACTCCATCCAGCTGCCGTCTAGACCCTTTGTGCTAAGGTTTTTTCCTCGGTTGTGCAGGGGGTCTAGGTTCTCAGATTACCAAATTGGTTTCCGATCATGAACGTAGAACCCACAAGTGTGTTACTGCACCTCCTCCAGCAACATTCATCCCTCACTTGCCTGCAACTTTGACTGCTCCTAAATCAGTATACAGCTGACCCCCCTCTGCCTTTGAATCTGTGCTGTAAGAAGCTACACCCTGAGTAGTCGCACTGCACGGTCATTACGTTTAACCTAATAAGAGAGATTGTCTTGTGTCTAATTGACATGTTGTGCACTACTGTGAAGCTGAAGAATCATCCTGTTGCTATTGCCAGTTCAGAGTCTGGTCTTGCCGCTTATAAGCCTCCCAAGTACAAAGACTTTCCTACATCATCCTCTATTTGATGTTTTTGTATGAGGACTGGAAGCACCCTGAAAAACACTCTTCCACCTTCCCATATGTGCTTCTCTTTACCCACTCAATGAGCAGTTTAGGAGATGGTCCATCATTGTAGTTGATCCTCCTGTTTCATGCCTAAATAAGGTGACTGTCATACTAGTGGTAGATGCTCCTTTTAAGGACCCTGCAGGCAACAGGCTTCAACTTCTTTGTAGGGGCTAAGGTTGATCTATTGGTTGCGGCCCTGCATCGGCTGTGGCTTTGGTTTAACTTTGTAAAATACTCCCCTAAGTCGCTCCAAGCTGAACTGACCAATCCTGGTGTAGACCAATTGGTCATAGCCTTGATCTTTAGCTGTGGTGGGGTTCTAAATACTTTTTGTCTATTGTTGCGCATAAGGCCTCTGTCGTTGCATATGTGTAGAGCACATTGGATGGAGAGCTGGTTCTCAGAACAAACTTGCAAAAAGCACTTGGTGACCTTTGGCCTACCAGGGTCAATGCCTCTTCAGAGTGTAGCTGGATGGGATCCTCAAGGATCCTGCCAGGTATAAAAGTACTCATCTCCCCCAGACTATGAAGAGCATAGACCAGACTCATAAATCATCTTGCCTCCTCTGGTATTGTGTGCCCTTTATGTCAACATTGAGGCCTCCCAAGGCTGTCTTCTCATCAGCCTGTAAGGTTTGGCATGCCAAATCTGATAAGTCTGCTGAGACACCCTATCAGCACCAGTTTATGATTCCCAAGCC